CCTGTTGTTAGCTCCAGCAGAACCACCCGTGCGTGCGTGTGTGTGTGTGTGTGTGGTGCTGGTGGTGGGTGTAGATGTTTTGCTTTTCTTGAGAGAAGCTGCCTCAGAAAAGGGGGTAATCGCTGTGCCCTCTCCTTCCTCCCCTTGGGAACCCCATGTCTGCGCTCTGAACGGGTGAAACCAGCGAGGACCAGACGAAGGGGACGGTGGTGGAATTAGGAAGGGAGGGACAACAGGCCCAGGCACCAACAACAGGCCTGTGTCCGCCCACCCTCCCAGCACCCTCTTGGGGACCACGGCTCCTGGTCTCTTCATGACCTTTTAGTAAGTATTAGAAAACAGCTTGCACCTACCATCGATTTGCAGTGCAGCTCGCGAGTGCCGTCGGAAGCTCTGAGAACCAAGGCCTGAGGTGCTGTGGGGCAGCAGCCACGCTCTGGTCACCAGGTCCTGGTCTCAACATCCTTGCCTCTCAGCTGAGTGCGCTGTGGTCTCTCCATGTACAAAATTCGCAGCCACTATATCTGTCCTTCCTTCCTTGTAGGATGCTGCAAATATCCAGATTTGTGTCTGTGCCAGTGCTGAGAAGCCAGAGGACTGGGTGAATAAGTGCTTTGCTCAGTCCTTAAAATGAGATTTCAGATCCTTTGTTGCTTTCAGAAACCATGAATTCAGAAACTTTGCCTAAAAGCTAGGCATTGAGAAGGACAACCATATTAAACAGTATTCAAACTCCGACAATGCCTTCCCTATTTGCACGGCTGTCAGTAGTCATACAAAACCCATGAGTGACCCTGAGAGATGGACCTTGGATGTTGCACTGCAACATGAGGCTTTATGTCAACCTTTTCAAAATCGTGATCCAAAAAAAGAAACGCATTAATGAAAGTACGTTTTACTTTAAAAAGGCACTTCACCTTCATTTGTACAACTGCTGGTGAAGAACCGAGCGATTGTCTTCTTAGCAAGAATCTGGGTAATATTTACAGATAATGTAAGTACAGGTATAAAGCTGTACATTTTAGCTTTTGTATTTTTTTAAAAAAATACTAATTTCCCTTTCACTCAACTTCAGATATGTATTTAGAGGTGGATTTGGGTGTGTAGGACACACACACACACACATCCTGCATACACATCCCAGATTAGAACAAGAGTTCGAACTGCCACATAAGTTTTAGAAAAAAGCAATAGTTTCCACCTTAGGAGCATTTTAGTGAAAAAATTAAATATAAGGGAAAAAACCCTTCTTATTAAATCAAATTGTGGTGTAACAGCTCACCACATCCTGTTGAGGGACATCTGACGTGAAGCCAGGCAAAGGTTCCGCTTTCAGGTCTCTGACGAGCTGTGAGGGTCACATGGTACCTGCAGTTCAAAATACTTCTATAAAGAAAAACCTTGGTGTAGGTGGAAAAGCTGAATAAGAAATGGAAACTATCAGCAGAAAGAAGACATTGTGGGAAAGCGTGGGTGTCATCGACACGACCATATCAAAGAGAGAAAGCCACTCCCAAAATAGCCCGCGCAGAGCCCAGGGTAGCTGTGAACTGATACGGACTCGGAACCATGACCTCATGGAAGAGAAATAGGAAGTTGTGGCCAGGAGAGGAGCGGGGCAAGAGGGTCCCAGGTTTTGATTCTCGGCCCGGTCATCAAAGAAATACTTAACCTTCCTCAGCCCTTCCTGATGGGTTCTCCATCCATCTGTGACACGGGAACCCTCGTGGCTTTCCTGACTCAATGACAACACAGGCTGTAGCTGTGGGAGAGAGGGTAGCTTTATGCTTGTTGGTCCTCAGTTGTGTAGAAGGTTGTGTGGGACTTTGCCCACTCTGAACTTCATGGTTACCCATCCTCAGCTGTGTAGAACACTGTGGGGGACGTCATCCACTCCGCAGTGCATGGTTGTCCATCATGGCTTGTTGTCCATGGAGTGCTTAGGGGAGATTCTAGAGCAGTGGTTCTCAACCTGTGGGTCGCCTAAGAACATCGAAAAACACATATATAATTACAAATTGTTTTTGTGATTAATCACTATGCTTTAATTATGTTCAATTTATAACAATGAAATTGGGGCTCACCACAACATGAGGAACTGTATTAAAGGGTCGCGGCATTAGGAAGGTTGAGAACCACTGTTCTAGAGGAGGTTGACGCATGTGTGATGGTTCTTGAGTGAGTCCCCAAGATGTCTGAAACATTGTGATCTGTGATCCTGACTTGACATTGCTGGGCTTGGAAAAGCAGGGTCTAATGACCCAGCACTTCTGGCGTCATGTTGTTGGAAGGGAAGCAGGGCCAGTTGCTCATCAGAAACCAGTGGACCACGATGACAGGCAGGCGAGAGCTTTGCTCACTGGGTGGGCCCTTCCAGCCTCCTCATTCTCCTGACGTCCCCAATAGGGTCAGGGAGCAGGGCCAGCACCAAAGTAGCCACATGGGAACCGGGGCCTTGGATGGCTCAGGACACGCTGCATGGTTTCCACACTCACACCCACTTCAGGGGCTCCGCCAGGTTCAGGTGCGACCGTGGGCAGTAGGGGAAGCCCACTTATGAAGTTTCTTCCCCTTTTATCTTTTCAAACAGATGTTATTTTCCTGTGGTCTGTGTCACCTTGAGGAACCAGAAGATTATAGTTGCTTTGCTTATTGCCTCCCTGCTGTTCTCCATCATTATTGCCCTCAGACCTCCCTCCTCTTCTCCATTATTATTGCCCTCAGACCTCCCTGCTCTTCTCCATCATTATTGCCCTCGGACCTCCCTCCTCTTCTCCATTATTATTGCCCTCGGACCTCCCTGCTCTTCTCCATCATTATTGCCTTCAGACCTCCCTCCTCTTCTCCGTCATTATGTCCCCTGGGCCTCCCTCCTCTTCTCCATCATTATTTCCCCTCAGACCTGTTCAACCAGAGAATCACCGATCTTACTAGATCACATTTGTGGTCTGGGACTTCTGTTATCCCTGGTAATGGGGTGGGAAATAAAACCCTTCTCTTGCTGTAGGGTAACTGAAGGGGCCATCACTTCTTCACTTGGGATCCTTTTCTCTGCCTGGTAGGTCATGGCTGGTCAGCACCCTGGATTAAGTCACCCTCCATTTCCACCTTCCCTGTGCTCCTGCTGCCCAGCGGGAGGACTGCTGACTAGGAGCCCAGACCTTGCCATGTTGGCCCCAAACCTGTTGCTGTCCCCGTGGCCTCAGGTCTGTTTTAGGAATAAATGAGATGATGACACTGAAAGCAACTTGTGGACAGTCCGGTGCTGCAGAAATAGGCGTGGTGCCGCAGTGTCATGTTGTAGTGACTTGTCTCTGTCACCTCACCAGGGACTAGCTTTCTGCCCACAAGACCAGTGTCTTTCTAGGTATGTTCCACACACTCTCTTAGTGTGAGACACCCTCCCTGCAGTAAGCCTTCTGCTTACCCAGACACACCCTGTAGAAACTCAACATTGGTGATTTTTCTTTGTCAAAATGTCCTTTAATGTAGCAATGTCCTGCCAAACATGTGTCCTAAAAAAGAAAGAGCGTAACAAGTGAAATGGGAAAGAATGGGACATCACCTGTGCGTCCTGGGCCCCTGTGTGCTTCAGCAAGCATCTCGGCCCAGAGGTCACTGCGGGCAGGTGCCTGGGAGGATGAGGAGAAAGCTGCCTGGGTCTGACGGACATGGCAGAGCTGCCTTCCCTTCTCCACGGTGCCCAGGATTGTGGCGGAAAAGCCACCTGCAGCTAAGGAGCTGCCTCGTGCACGCTCTGAGCTGCCTCGTGCACGCTCTCAGCAAGTGTTGTCCTGATATCTGCTCTGAGCTCTGGGCGTCGCTATTGCCCCAGCGGCAGCTGTGACGAGCCCTAGGAGAGGGTGAGTCCCTCCCAGTGTGTCCCAGTCACTGGTTCGCCATCTTCAGGGGAGATGCGGCATGTCACATCCCTGTCTCAGGCTGGGCCCTGCTGTGTCCTTTGCGGGCAGCCAGCTGGAGCCCCTCGCCCAGGCCGCAGGTGGGCTCGGGCAGAGGGTGGACACTATGGCCTTGGGTCCCGGCCAGGCCGTACCTTTGGGAAGAGCCAGGGTTTGAAGTTTGCGGTTGGAGTTCCTGCCAGTGAGTTCTGTTATCAGGTCCCATGACACAATTCCTGGTTCCCCCAACTGTGTTTTATTATTGTTATTCTTTAAAATAGTTGTTGGGGGGTGGATGTTGAAAGGGAATTTAGGGAAGGGAGTGGGGGAGATGAAATGTGCACCAACTAATTGCTCAGGAAGCCACCCTCGGATAGGCCGGGGCCTTTGCAGAAACACATGGAGTTTATCTGGGCAACAGAGGGAAACCTGGCAGTTCCGTGACGTGAGCACGAGCTCCCCACCTCCCAGTTCTGTCAGGAAAGTGACCGTGGTGACACCTCCGTGGTGACATTTCCCCTATCTGGGTGCCCATCGGTGGTGGAGGGAGGGGTGTTGTGCAGCTCACTCTCGATGGCCTTTGCTCATTTCCTCTCTGGCTGCCAAAAATCACAGGCTGATAGTGGCCGTGGACAAGGAACCAGAGATGAAGGACGAGACCCCACAGAGGGGGCTCCTGCTGCCGGTGCCGGCCCCTCTCCGACTTGACGATGAGGCCGAGGGGTGGTCAACGAGCGTAGACTTCCAGAGGTGCTTCCGCGTGGGTGCCAATTGTTGGTTTTGCGAACCCACAGACACCTCGGTGGTGCTTTCCTGCCAGAAGGAAATGCACTCAGGACCTGGGGAGCCCCTGGTGCACCACGAGCAGTAACTGCACCGCCACCAACGCCTGAGTCACAGCAGCCAGGTCCTGGGCAGCCGCACTGCTGGCTCAGCACACCTTGCGGACGTGGCAAGAGTCAGGAGGGGAGCCAGTTCCTTTCTCACAGGCTGCACTTAACATCCTGAGAGCGTGGCTGATGGAATTGCTGGTTATTTACATACGGTTCCATGCAGAGTGGTGGTCTCCTAATGCGTTCTCTTATTTCTGTTTTCTTGCAGTAAATGAAATAATACGAAACGACCTCTCCAGCACCAGCACCCATTCGTAGTTGGCAACATCGGGACTCACTCAGGAGCCACATGGTGTCGATGGGTGACAGTGGAGGTTCAGCATCCAGACTTCTGACTAAATAAACTGAGCACACCTGGTACCACTCAGAACTTCCGACTTACTGAAGATGTGTTATACATACAAAGAAGTAGCTCTTTAACAGGAAGGAAGGAGGGAAAGGAAGGAAGGAAG